TGTGGTGGTGTAATCTGTGGTTGTTATTGAGGTTGTAGAGAAGAAGGAGAAATTTCAGTTGTTACTGTTAAAGGTCTCTTAGTGATTATAAAAAAGATTCAACAGTCTCTCTCACTGCTTATTTTGTAAATGTTACACACTTATGCATTTTTACAGTATCTTTTTCTTACCAAAAATGAAGCTTGTTGTTGTTGGGGGGGGTGTAGTTGTAGGGGGTGTAGTTGTAGGGCAAGTCTCTATTATTCTTATAATCTCTCCTTTATCACAAATAGCAGTTATACATGCTCCATTGCCATCATGTGTTGCATAGATTGTATCTCCGTGGTCGAACAGTTTTCCTCTGTATAAACAATAGCAAGCTGCAAAATAAAAAACAACATTTATTGTTTTTTTCTCAGATTCAGTCTACATTCTGTTAGTAAAGATCACATTCACATCCCAGAAATAGTTATACTCACCTTGGATGTCATAGGTACAATTTTTCTCTGTTCCAGAACAATGACTGAAAGGTAGAAGAGTGAGAGGAATGTAAACACAAATAAATAGATAGAGTGAAGAGTAAATAGCGTAAATAGTTGAATTATTATATTCCATAATTCCATAGTTCCTGACAGGATAATGATTGGTCCATGCACTTGTCAAACACAAAGCAATTGCTTGAAAACTTGAAAACAGGTCGTCTTTCCATGTGATAAGTTATCAGTGCTGATTTAGTTTTTACTTTACTTTACATCCTTCAACCAGATGAAAGAATAGGAACTACTAGTGGTGGCAAGTTTAAGTTTACAAGCGATGATTCAAAACTTTTAATTTGGATTATTGCCCGGGTGATGCTTATGTTTCATATGAAGGTGAAGCAAGTCATTCTTTTGCATATTGTTAGCAATATTTTTCCATGTAAAATAGACCTGACTGATTCCTGAATTAAAAATTAAAATCCACTTTTCCATTAGCTATTCACCCACATCCATATTAGGTTATATGGAAAGTGACCTACCAGTTGTAACAGTTTTCTGAAGGCCTAATTGGAGGCATGATTTCCCCTTCTTCATAATGCTTCCCTTCATCGTCATAGCAACCACATTTCTCCTGTGACACACACTGCATTGTATCTTCTTCCAAATAGGGCCTTTCAGGTGGGCACTTTGGATAGCAGCCTACAAAAGTTAAATGTTGTTGTAAATGTCAAAACACTTACCCAAAAGGTAAAGACAGGAAGTCTAAATCAAGCGAGAATCTCTGTGTGGTAAAAAATAAATTTCTAACAGTGTTTGTGCTTAACCAATGGGATTAGCTCTAAAACACAGAGCATGGTTAACTCTTAGAAATGTGTGCAATATTACATCCATGTCATTTTTACCCTCTAGAGCTGGAATGTTGTTGTAGCATGCTGCCGAGGGATTCTTGCATGTCTTCATACATGGTTTTCCACAAGGCTGGTAGTGCCATTCACACTCTCCATCAGGGTTGTAAAAATCACAGAACAGAGCTGAACAGAGTTTAAAAAGCATACAGTATAAGATCAGAAAATCCTTAATCATACGTATATCGCATCATTAATAATAGAACGCAAGCTGGGCTTTATTTGTAAATTCAATATCTTAAATGAACGATGGTGATAACAACACATTGCTTGTTTGGTTAATCTCCGTATGGAAACACAGATAAAACACTCACGGCAGATCGTGGGAGTTCTCCATTTTATGCAGGCTCCGGCCTCATTACAGGCTGCGGCGTACGCTGCTACAGCCGAGCAGAAACATTCACAATCTCCTCCGGTGTTGCAGGAACAAGTGTCACTCACACAAGCATCATAATAGTTGTGTGGAGGCACCTTTTTAAAAGAAACCATTGTAAATGTAAATATGGGTTATACTATGAATGATATTTATACAGAATGTAACCGTTCTTTGGCAGATTTCTTACCTTAGAATGGCAACCAGCAAATACTGGACTCTTGATGATGCTGCAGTGTTTTAATGCCCATGCTTGCCTGTGTGAGTACAGAGTGCAAGGGCTCGTGTGTTTGCCAGCATTAGGGCAGGTAGGTGACACTTTCCAGCTGTTTCCGAAGTCAAAGGCTTCAACAACAACCTCTTTGTTTCTGGTGGTAAAATCGTTCTTGATATTCCCATCGTAATTCCCACAAAGACCACATATTTTTCCCTGGGATGAAAAAAGATCTAGTTAATTTGTAAAATGGCAACCTTGTTAACATGTGTCTGAATGCCTGTGCATCTCCTCACCCACCTTGAATGTGGGCCTGAGCTTGATTCTAAGTGTGGTCTTCTTATTCCAAATGAGAACAAGACCATTCTTTGCCTCAATGACAAGGTATATGCCCATACTGTGGACTTTAAAGGGTATGTCCACGCCTTGGTTTTGTTTGATAACTCTGACATTTTCCTCTGAAAGAATAATTTCCTTATTCTGAAAAAAAAAAAATAGATTCATTTGTAAGTCTGCAATATCCTTTACAGCATTAAAGATTCATTTTAAATGCATATAATCGTGTTATGTACCCCTAGGTAAAGTTTGATAGCCGTAGAACAGATGCTCTCAGTTGTTCCGCATGGGATGCTCTCAGTCAGGATCCGAAAGGTACCCTTCATATCGTCCTCACAATAATCCTGCAAGATATTGGTGTCAGTATTACAACACTGATTTTTGACAAATTCTATATAAAGCCTATAAAGGTCTGTGCAATACCTGGGTGAAGACATAGCCGCAGTCCCCATTAAAGGAGAATTTCTTTTCATCAAAGGTGATGTAATGCCCTTCTCCATATATGATGCAGGTTCCATCACAATCACGATCTGTGCATTCCCATTTACTGCTTTTGCAGGTGCTATGGTTTAAACAGATTAAGTAGTCAGTTATCCACAGAAAACACACACACACACACACACACACACACACACGCACACACACATCAGTATGGAAGAATGAAGGGCTCACCAAGTATTGCAGTCCACAAGGACAGTCTTTCCAGACTCATATGAATCGCCATTATATGTGCAGGGACAGTCCTCCTCCTTAATACAGCCTCCTTCACCATCAGACAGCAGGCCAGCAGGACACATGCAGCCGGACATACACTGAGTACTGACCTATTCAGTATAACAGCAAATGAGATAACATGCTGCTTTAATATACACCTGCAGAATATTCAAGAACAGTTATGAACCAGTAGCTCAAGCTTACACATTCGGTGTCCAATGTTTGGCAGCTTTTTTGGCACTCGGACCCCTTTTCACCCGGCTTCACGCTTGAGCAGTTGAAGAAAGTCATTGGCTCGGTGCATGCTGGTGACAATAACAGTGTGTTACAACGGACACCACTGGATGCTTGATGTTGGTCATACTGTTGGACCTGATTTTGTACTTACATTCAGTTATTTCAGTTCCTGTACATTTTAGTTGTCCACTATGGCATAAGCTGAAAAACATAGAGAGACATCCAATGTCAATTCTTACTCGTGTTTGGTCAATTTCTTGGACAGTAAAAACAACAGATGGTGGACAGTGGTTCCCTCCCTCCTGGTCTGGCCTTTAGATCTGCAATTGTCTTTGAGTTATTGACGACACAGATAAGATTACTTGACGGTTTGCAGGAAGTTGGGGACTTTTCTAACACATATAAGTGTGCGTTGTACATCTGACTGTTTACTGGTTGATCACATCGAACAGATTCAAATTCATGTTTAGTATTTCCAACCACTGAATACGTTTTGGATCTGGGAATTGTACTGAGAGGTCAAACGCAGAACCTTTTTCTGTCCACTAAACCAATGTGCCAAACTTTTAAAATGATAATGCAAATTGCAAACAAAACAAACTAGAAAAGTGCAATTGGAGCGTAAAACCAAATAATGTGAGAACCAGTTTAAGAGGCGCAATTATTACTTCTAAACCGACAACAGTAAACCCAATTGGAACATATTCAGACAAAACTATTTTACAGTGTCACGTGTAAATATGCATAGTAATAAGTAAAGTGCAATAAAGCATTTTTTTCACAGAAAAAAATAAAAAGAGAGAAAAGTAAAATAGACTATCAAGTGCACTACTTCACTGCATACAACATATTGCTTGATGCTAAATCACTAAAACCGTATTCATTGTTATACTCCTGTTAAGCAGCCTCCATCTCTGTAATCAGCAGTCGAGATTCTTGAGGCACCACTATGATATGCAATTGAAGCCACTTGCAATTCAGAATAAAACACTGTGGCAAACATTAAAAATTGACCCACAACTTATTACCCACTAATCCAGGCTCATTTAGTTCAGGTAGAATGAATTCTTCTAGGTGAGCCCTGATTGCTAACATTCCCTGTTCTCCTAGATCTTTGGTGAATGTCAAACACAATCTCTCTCTATTCGCAACAATCTCTTCTCGCTTAAGTCAGCTGACAAATAATAGACTAAAGTAGCCTAATTATAATTATTAAAAACTTTTTTTTTTGCTTTAATTTGAACAGAAATATTGAACAACTCACCAAGTTAGACCATGGACTTTGAAGATGTGCCCGGAGTGTACCAGCTGGTTTTCCACTTGGCAGGAGCACTGTGACTCTGACACACACTGTCCATTCTCATTGAGGTAAGTTCCTTCCGCACAGCCGCAGCCATCGAGCTGGGTAAATTCAACCTCACAAGTGGAGTCTGACTGACTAAGAGAGCGGCAGGTGCGACCACAGCTTGTCATTTGGTAGCCATACACAAAAGTGGAGGGGCAGTCGGTCATGTACTTCTCTATTGAAAGGAAACAGGTTCACATATTGTTTGAATTACATCAATAAATATGGACTTTATTTATTTCAAATTGATAGTTGGTCTGATAGCAGGTTTAACTTACGGCATACAGTCTCCCTCCATCCATTCAATAAGACGCCTTCAGCAGCACACGCGTGGACATAAGAGGATATGGCAGCACACATGCATTCCTCACTGTTCTCACAGGCGCAGGTGTCATAAACACAAGACTGCACAGAGAAGTAGAAACAAGCTCAATTAATAGGTTAAATACAAACAAATACATACACAGATACATTAGACTGAATACAAAAATAAACCTTACAGTTTGATAGTCATCTGGGTTTATTACAGAATGGCACTTTGCAAAAATTTCTTTTGGGTCTGACAGGAAGGCGCACCAGTCTTTGGCATATTTCTCTACAAAGAAAAATGAACATGTTATCGGTAAACTGGTAAGAAAAATGATATGAAGACATGGACTACGCAGACTGTGACCTACCTTTGTCAATGCTCAAAAGGCATGGGTCCCCAAGTATGTTTGTCACATCGGAACAGCTTGTTTTGGTCTTCCACGTGTTGACAAATGTCCCAGCAGTTCCCTCAATCAGTCCATTCGGGGTCATGAAGTCGTTCCGTTGCTCATCATTAAAATCTCCGCAAAGTCCTGGACAAAAGTAATGATACCTCAAATCCCAACAATACTAATGGCAAAAAGGTGGATATTTGACTCTATAATCAACAGTAAAGTAAGTAAGTAAAACACACCCCTGAGTTTTCCCTTATTGGAAACACTGGCTTTGATGTAGACCTGCATAATGGGCGAAAGCTGAATCTCCAGACGAAGCCCAAAGTTGGTCTGGATTACAATGAAGAATGTCGATGGGCTAAAGGCTTTTAAGTCATCTGCAGGGGAAAATATTTTCACATTGAATAAAGAGATTTCATTTGAGCAAACCCAATGAAATGTTGCGATATCAACGGAGTATGAGCACTAAAGAGAACTAACGCCTCACCTGTGATCAGAGGCAACTGAGTCCTCACTTTGTTGTACAGAACATCTCCATTGGCTTCAACTACAATCATCTGCAGTAAGAAAAGGGACAATATGTTAAAACCCACAGGGTAAGCCTCAACCTCTCCAGCAGATGTCAAATGGAGAACATCGTCTGAATTTCCCTTTATAAAGAGAGAACCATAATGTAACATATTTTACCATGTTTTTAGGCAGTTGTAGGCTGACTGCACCCAGGCAAGTTGATTTTTCAGAGCTTTTACATTTGGCCAGGTCACCAATGACGCTGAAAGCTCCATCAATGTCCTAGAGACAAAAAGACCAAAATGCACTTGATACAAAACAGTTTTCTTATCATCAAACATTGTTCCTTTCTATGTGGATTAAAGGAAGAATTGATATAAGCTTAAATGCCTCACCCCTGAGAGAATATAGGAGCACTCCCCATGGAAAGAATACATTTTGTCGTCATAGGTGGAGATGTGGCTGCCGCCCAGCACGGAGCAGATACCTTCGCAATCTACATTCTCACAGCGCCACTGAGCCTGCGCGCAGGTGCTGTCAAACAGAGTTCAGTCAGTCCAACTGTACACGTCAAGTTAAATGCACATGTTATAAACATTATCATGAAAATCGTAAGTCATTACCAATTTTGACATGTGCTTGAGTATGAGTGTCCTGGTTTGTATGGCTTTCCATTGTGTAAGCAAGAGCATGTGTCAGCAGAAACACACCCCCTCTGTGTAATGTCATCAAAGACCGTCCCTTGGGAGAAACACAATGACGTGATTAGTCTAATCTGTAAACTCAATCATCACGCAGTGCAAACACCATTAATCATTTTGTGCATATGAATTAACAACATACAGGTTTACTTTTTAAAAATATAAAAATCACATGTCGTATCTAAATGAAACTGCATTAAATCCATGCGCCTCATGTACAATTCATTGTCAATGTCATGACAACTTTATTCTCTATTCATTTGAGATAAATTAGGCTACAAAGTTGAGTAAGTGCACCTAACCTAGAAGACAACGGCAAATGTAATGGATGTGATTATATAAACTTTACGTGACTGATCTGTATTTGTTGGCAACTAAATACCTAAACAAGGCCTGCCACCTCATTTTGTAACTTCAGCTTCTGTTGTTACAACAGCTTGTTGTTAATTTAATTTAACATCATACATTTCTCATTCTGCACATCTGAGTCAATTTTAACATCAGGCAACTTACCTGTTGGACAAAAACATCCATCTAAGCAGTGATCCTCACACACATGGCTCCTCTGGGAGTTGCTGCAGGTGTCAGTACAGGGACTACCGCATTCCTTGTACTCCATGTTAAAAGGGCATGTTTTTGCTATGCAACACACAAAAAAAAGTTACATTTAGAAAAAGTGATTCTGCAGTAAAAACAAGCTCAATTATAAATGTTCTTACCACACAGTTGGGGTGTCTTCCATTGCTGTGGTACCCCGCCTGCGTGAGCGCACTGGCGAGAATACTCTGATGTGGTCGAACACAAGCATGAAGAGCTGCTGTTACAGCGGCACAGGTCCTTCACACAGGCTTCGATGAAGGAGTCAGTATCGATCAGCTCTTGACAGTTAAGGAATGCAGGTCCTCTCAGCAGGTCTTCACAGATGTTTTTCTGTGGGCAAAAGTGTAGTATTAAACATGTACCGTGGCTATTGTTATATATAAAAGGATGTGAAAGGCAAATCTATTTTCACATACTTGATCGTTACAAGTGTGGATGGCGGGAGAGGATGTTATTTCACACTCTTCAATGGGACCATCGGCTTTCCAGGACTGCCCATAAATGTCAAGAGGGACAGATTCTCCTGTTTCGAGAGGAAAAACAGCTTTTAGCAAATAGGAAGAATAATTTTGAGCAGATTGTGTGTGTGTGTGTATTCACCTGATACGATGAACTCGTTTAAAACCTGAACTCCATCGTAGTCACCACACAGGCCACAAGTCTGATTCTTGAATTTTTTATCCAGCTCAACCTTAAAACCGGTGTGAGAATTTCAGTTGAAAGGAACTAAAACCTCTCATACTCTTTGTTTCACAATTGCTTCCCTTACATTTAACATGGACTAATCGTTACGTCTCCAGTCAATTATTGAATCTCTAAAACAGTTGTAAAACTAAAGAAGTTAACAAAAATAGTGGTACAAAGCAACATTTAGACATTGTTGGTACGTAGGTGCAAGATGAGGACAAAACGAATAGACATACCCAGAGAGAGTCTTTTTCATTCCACATGACAACCAAACCAAGCTTTGCCTCAATTTTAACATAGGAGATGACTCTTGCAATGGAAATGCCGACCTGGCTGAATGGTATGGTGACTCTGTAGGGAGAGGAGGGGGATCAGACATTACTGGAACCAAATTGTGATTGTAATGCTGGAAAACAAAAGTCAAATGAATAACATCAATACGACCGAAGGAGGAGACAGGATCTAACAGTATATTTAGGAGCATAAAGTCAGTTTCTACGCAGATGATGTACCGGTTGCGATCATCAACCCTGGTTCTGATCTACCTGTAAATGAATATTCTGTATTTTGTCCTTATCAAAATCCAGAATATTTGATGGATTGTTATTGAATCTACCTGTCGACCTCTTGGTGTAACCCATCGTGTGTAGCCAAATGGAAAACTTTGGAGTTACACTTAACCAAAAATCCAATACGGGCATTGTTTGTTGTGTTGGTAAGGAAAAATATCCTAGATGTTGAATCAAAGGAGGAATTTCTCCGTGAAAGTATATGTGGGATGGGTTCAAATGGTTCTTTCTACTTTAGCAATCTTTGATAACATTTGGGTTGTGGGGGCAGGACTTTTATTATAGATATTTACAACTTCGTGATCATTTTTCAGTCTCAAATGTTATTCATCTGTTCACCACCTAATGGGCTATATGCAAAATAATAATTGGAAAAATCGTGTGTTTTAAACAGAAGTGACATAAACATACACTCAGACATGGTGCTCTTTGTCAATGATAGGTCTATATTAACAGACCTACATATTTGATATCAGCTGACCTACGACTCAAAAAAACAGTTATGTGCTTATTCACCTCATGTTTCTCATGTGTTTTTATTCACTGTGACAAATAAATATAGTTAAAAAAAACAAAAAAATACTTACTCTTCATCATTGACTTTGATGGAAGTCTTGGCTAATTCCACAACGGCCCCCTCCAGTTTCATTGTGACCTTTTTAATGGTTATGGCTCCATTCCTCTCCTGCCGTTGGAGCTGAATATTGAAACTATCATAGCTTCCCTTACACTGGGAAGCAAGGATGTAGTTGCAAGTAGAGGGAAGTTGGAAGAAATCTCCATCGAAAGTCTTGAAGTGATAGTTTCCCCACGTACTGCAGATCTGGTCATTGTGAGCGGGTCTCACCTCTAGATTAAGGAGAAAAAATCATGTATTAAACTTGCACAACTTTTAGGTTTTTATACTTCATCTTTGAAAATGAATTACCTTCAATTACTGGCATTCTGGCAACCGTCTGAACCATGACTGAAATAAAACACATTATCAATAACACAGACTGTTTCCATTTGTATTGTCCAAAACACACAATGAGGTAGAATGCATGCAGGTCTCTTCGTATGCCATTGACTGAACCTACCAGTGCTGACTGCGGCTGGTCCGAGGAAGAGGGTGAGCCATGGAATTACCCATTCAAGTAGCATCTTGGCTGCTGTCATGATCTTGAGTTGTCCCTGTCCTGACAGGGATGGTGGAGATAACTGGTCCCACACTAAGAACGGCATGTTAAATAGTTCATTGGGTGTTTGCATTTAAGGAGGGGTACAGCTGACATTCTGGGTGTCAACCAATGTGGTTTTGTCTCTATTAAGATCACACCCTTGAAGAGGCTGCTTATGACAACAATTCATCCTTATACAGTGTATCCGTCTCCTAAGTCATTCTACCTGTCTTTTGTTCTTTTGTAAACAATAACATATATCCTGTAAGTTAGAACAATCCTTTAAATGTAACATGTATAAAGTTTCCGCTGATGATACACTGCATGTTTCGATTACAGTATATTTTTTATTCATGTCCTGTTCCTTGACAAAGGAAGATTAGCATTTATGCACGGTGTACTTTTCTCACTGATGCGTAGCATTTAAAGCCGTGGGTTGAACCGCTGCGTCGGTTGAGTAACTGCATAACACACTGGATTAATATTTTGCTTGGCTTCAACATAGACCTTTGAAATGACAAACACAGTCATCAGTTGGTCTCATGAACCAAGTCCGAGCCCCCTGTTGACCCAAATACTCCGTCCCCGGAACATTGGCACGGTGGTTTCTCACCATCATAACCCATGTACATACTGTATATACATGTTTTAAATTGTTTTCATTTTGCTTTTACTGTATATTTTTTATTTATTTTACTTTATCTTATCTTAAACAATTTTATTCTTGTATTACACTGATCATCAAGACCAACTCCAATTAGGTGTAACATATCGGACCAATGCTGTGGATACAGAATGTATATCTCATAACTACATATATATCCTATAGAGTCATTTCTGAATGCTGTGGGTTGGTGAGAGCGATATTACTGTAATTTATAAGATTAAGAAGTCCTTCTAAAACTCCTGGTAACATTTATTTGAGATTGAGAGGTTAAATATTTTGCAACAAACAAACTTTTTTCTTTAAGTCACAGAAAAGAAGATAGCATGGGTCTGGGAACTTTGTAGTCCTTAGGACTGTGTATCAAACCCACATTTATTTCAGCCAACTATAAGAAAGTATTTGATGTTACATTTTCTTCGGGCTTCTATGTTTAAACAGTTTTTTGGTGAACAAAACATTTGGGCTGATATGTATATATGGATAGGAACATTACATTAGATGTCATTTAGCTGACACTTTTATCCAAAGCGACTTACATTGCATTTTGAACCCATGGTTTTTACATTTTTTCCCGGGGAGCTGTTAGGGGTTAGGTGTCTTGCTCAGGGACAGTTCAACATGGGACATGGAGCATTTGCACTTTGACCAAAAATAGTTTAGCTAGTTAATTCTGTTTTAAACTTTCACTGGTCAGAGTGGAATTAGTATTTTCCCACAAATGACATGAGAGGGAATAAAAATTCTGATGTTTTTTCTGCCAAATCTAACAGTTCAAACATTTGCTATTAAAGGTAAATTCCTTGATACATCCAACAAACTAACAATGTAATATTAGTCCACAAAAAGCAGATTGACACACAAACAGTGTTGCATATTTTTATTTGATTAATAGACAGATAAATTCTACAAAGGCGAGTGCTTTGGAAAAAGTGTAATCATTGTTAAGATATTCCAGGAAGAAATTGCAACATTTCACTTCCATTTCCAATTTTCATCACACCAGTGTAGAGCTTCGCCTCCTGCGAGTCAGTTGTGCAGCAGCTGTGGCGCAATCTCTGTGGCCACAGCCACACTCATCTACATGGGTGTATGAAAAGGGCACCACGTCTCCATTCAGACAGTGTAACGCAATGGTGCGATTGCTGGAGCGTGTCTCCTTGCAGCAGGAGCATGAATGCTGCATAGCAGCTGCTGCTTCAGAATACCTAAGGAAAGCAGAGGCAGAGTTGGTCAATAAACGGAGAATCCGTGCAAAATATTCAACACATTCAAGTCTGCATCTTAACAGGTTTGAGAATATATAGAAGAATTAAAATAATATTAGTTATAGAAATATTAGTGATATGCTTACTTGGTGAAGGTGTTGCAGGATCCTTCACAATATGGCATATCTACCTCCTCGTTAGACTGACAGCGGTTGTGCATAACTTTCTGTTTCATGGACACTAATTTGCAGGCTTTATCCCTCGACACACCTGTTCAAAAGAAACCCACAATTAGACTGTTTTCATCTGAGTACCTTTTACCCAAAAGTGTAGAGAATGTCATACTCACAAATTTTACAACAGCCATTTGCTGCAGTCTCAATTGTGCCCTAAAGAGGTAAAGAATACTCTGAATATTTGTTCTCACACAACCAGACAATTCAGATCTATTGTTTCAAAGTGATAAGTGATACTTACTGGTTGGCAGTCTTCCTTCACGAATGCTGGGCAGACAACGTGTGACTTATATGTTGTTAAAGTATCACCAATCATAAGACAGGAGTAATGCTCGCACTGATTCAGTGGTGGTGACCAGGTGTCTCCTGGCTAGAGAGCAGTGAGGTGGATATAGACAAAGACACACACACAGACATCAAAAAACAGTACATATGTCATTTAGGCTATTTAACATTATCATCTGGATTAATAGATTATTAAACTTACCTTTAAGAGGTTCTTGGTATCATTAACAATGGCAATACAGTGAGTCTGCACACACTTCCCACAGCATTCAAGGGAATCAGTTTCCATATATTCATATCCCTGAAAAGGAGGGTGGGGGATTAAGTTACCAAGTGCTTATTTTCCTATTCACGTTCCAAGAAAACATGTTTTCAGACGAATGGTTGAAATTTCTCTTACCATGTCACAGTCTGTTTGACATTTCTGAAATTCACAATGTATCTTGAAGAGACCAGAACGCGGGTCCACCTCATTTGTACAGACACAATCCTGACATTTAGGCGCAGGAACTGGAGAGCCAGGCTAGCGTGTAAAGAAGAAATGCATTCATACATTTGGGTTGTGTGTTTAGCCATACAGAAATTTTGCATCAGAAATCATAAAAAGAAGAAAGGTTTCTTATTTACCTGATATTCACTCTCTTTGTGAACACAAACCCTTTTGGGCTCTAGAAAAAAGCAAGACATTGGGATCACAAAGTGTCACTAACATCATATGTTTTATATAAATTCAAACCATGAATTCATGAACTCACCGCAAGCTCGTTCTGGGCAGCATTTTCCCTCAGGAACACTAATAACGGGTTTATAACCTATCGGACAGTTCATGTTGTAGACTGGGCACTTGCTGCTTTGACATTCTGTGGAGATAATATTAGTTTCACAGTAAACAACTAAGAGGCTTCAAGTGTGTTATCAATGTAAGACATTCTGAAGAAGTTGGAGGACAAATGTGCATCTAAACTAAATCTCTTACGGCAAACAAAGGAAGAGCAGCAGGAGTCTGATGGATTGGTTTGGTTGATGACGACAAACCCAGGTTCACTGCAGTTTGCTATTGGTGGTTTTGGGCATGCCTTAGGTTTGCAACTCACAGTCTTGGTCGACTCCTCACAGATGCAGGTTTGGCATTTGTAGTCAAACCTCTCATTAAACTAAAAGATTAAATAACAATTGTGACTCAATTGTGTCTTTCATGTAGACAGCACAGGTTAGTATTATATCTGATCAGTAAAAGACCCACCTCTCGGGGAATTCCCTCAGGATCAAGACATCCTGTTGGAAAGAAAGCATTTCAAGATTGATATAATATGGAATACAGTATATATAGTTCAACAACAGGACTTGAGAATATACACCACACTTACCACACTTGTCAACACACACGCCAGAGTCTTTGTTGAAGAGTTTCATCCCATCAGGACAAAAGCAACCCTCTGTAGTGTAGTTCATGGTTGATTCATTAGGACTGTAATATTGAATTGTGAAAGAAAGAAAGATTTAGTCAAATTGATTTATATAGCACTTTCAAGGACAAAACTCCCCCGTAATTAACATTAAATACTCAATAAACATATAGATTCAAACTAAATCACTGACTCTGTGAACTGCCGGGTACATCCAGAGCACTGCATAGCATGCCACTGCCTCAAAAGCTCAATACCACCGGTCACATAGTGTCATATGTGCTACAGGGAGCAAGTGAAGTGAAGTGTGTGCATGAGAGGGGGGGGGGTCTCTTTGTCCATGTGAATAATCTTATGGAGTTACTACGGACGGTTAATAGCAGACATACTGAGTAAGAAAAGTGGATCACAGTAACCAATACGCCCAGTAGGAACACTTACTCAAACATTTCCTTACAGATCTCTCCCTTAACAAATAACTAAAACCATTCACTGTGTAATATACTAGTACTTAAATATACACACTGCCAATATCCATTATGATCTTAATCCATTAATGCCAATGTGCAGAATAAACTACAAAAGCAAAATTACCTCATTTTATATGTATTACTTACTTGTCGTCACAGGTTGCTTGTTCTGCAGAGACCACATGGTTTGTAAACTTTGTTTGACGGGCAGGCACCCTCTGTTAGTGAGTAAAATAACTCAATTAGTTCTTTTGACAATACATACTTCCTACCTACTGTATAAACCTATTATTATCAGAAGCCTGTTTAATGTGTGCTAGATATAACACAACTAAATTTAATGAGTTACCCCTTTTCATTCCAATACTCAAAATGTGCAATTAATGACAGGGAGGAGTTGCTTACCACACAGGGTGGTGTGGTTCCTCCAGTGCAGACAAACCCCCACCTGAGCGCAGGCAGCGGCGTAAGTCTGTAAACTTGTGCATTCCACTGCTGGGTTGGCAACATGGCAGCCATCAAAAACACAACCTCGGTAGAAATTGTCAGGAGAGACAAAGGGATGGCACGCTGCGAAGAGACTGCAAAAGTATAACACAACAAAAATTGAATTAAAAAACAATTGTATTATTCGTGGGGTTGAATGTCTACTGCTATTGTTGATTAGATAATGTCTACCTGCTCGTAAGCAGGTGACATATGGAGTTTGGTATTGGATGGAGTAGAGGTTGGTGCAGGCCCAGGTGCATTGGTGGGC